TTTAGATCGTAAAAGATACTTTCATATAAGTTATACTAAACATTTTAATTATAAGCAATTAAGTTTATTAAAATATATCGACATAATTTTGTAATATATATATAAATTAAGAAAATAATTTAACACTTATGAAATCTTATGGTGATCAAGTAAAATCACATGTGGATCAATATAGATTGGATCACAAACTTCGTTTATTGATTATATATAATCTTCAGATCATAGTAAAATTTTTGATAAACTAGAAAGATAACTCATGTGAAAATATTTTTACCAAAACCTGAAGATGATATATAATTAATAAGCGAAGTTTGTGATCTACCTAATTACCATCAAATAGCACAATTAATTTACATATTACTAATTACTTTGTAGTATCTGGATAACTAGAAATATGTTCATTTATTTACCTTATTGGTTTAGATTCTATTTTATCTTGTTGTTCAATCGAAATTATCATAGAAATTAGAAATTTCAACCAGGGTAAAATCACCACCAAAAAAGTTTTGAAATCATGTGGTATTGTCAATTCATCATAATTAGATCATGATAATAATATTTATTAAAATATTAATGTTAACATAATTGATTTAATAAGTAATTTTTTTTCTTCAATTCTTTAAAGTGTAAGGCAATTGTTAAAAGCATAAACTCCAAAAACACAATGTTCTAAAAATATATGTTAATTGCTGTAACCAACTTTCTATTGACAGTATACAAAAAAATTGAAATAAAATTATAAAAACTAATCAAGAAACGCAATTGAACCAGAAAACTTGTAGATTTTTTTTAACGCTCTTCTGGAAGATTATAATTCTGATTATTTATATAAACTCAGGACACAACAACAAAAAATCATTGAGGAAAACAAATAGTTTGATAGCATTAATAAAACTTTGTGCTATTGCATAAATTAGGAGATTATAATCATTTTAATAGGCAATAGAATACTCCAAATACTTAGAAAAACCGTAATCATAATACTTTCTTGCTATAATAAATATTACATTTATTGAGTTATTCTATTACTTATCGTAAGTTTGTTGGTTGTATTTTTTTATTAAGTTACATAAATTTTTTAGTGCTCGATATATTTGTCACGTGATATTCGAACCTTTTTTGGCTGGTGATTTTATCCTGGTCAAAATTTCTGCCATATGGGTCATATTGCAGATCATTTTATCAGATTTAAAATTGGTTTGTTCTAGATCTGGCCAAATGATCTACAAATTTGACCAGAATTAAGAAAGATAAATTCCTCTATATATCAAATGGTGCAGACCCACTGATATGATGCAGACCCTTTGATATAATTGCATATTAAATTATGCAATGATTATTATTTTCATCAACCAGGATATTAAAAATTTAGAATTGGCTAGCTAGTCGGCTAAGCTGCTTGGTTCAGCTATTATCGGCTACAGCTATAGCTGGCTATAGCCGGCTATAGCCATAGCCGATTTTATCCCTACTTTAATCCATAAGCTCTTATATTAGTAATGTGGTGATATTCAAAATTTCACAAAATTTATTGTTATCATCTGCAAAATTTTTAATTTGGTAAATCAATTATTTCGGTATTTATATAAATATAATTAGTGATGCATGATTTTTATAATGCAATATAATGCTAAATATAATGCTGAGCTGATAGTCTGGAAATGCTCAATAGGTTCTGGAATATTCTGAAAACTCGAAGATTCCGAAAAATTTCCATGCACATGAAATATGAAAAAATTGGAATTTGCATATCACTAGTGACACTGGCAGAATGGTGAATCGGTCGCTTCACAGACGAATATGTCGTGTAACCTACGAATCGACTTAGTCAATAAGAGGCAGTTAGATTTAGGTGAGTGGATAGTTTATGATTGTAGGTTTTATTATAACGACAGTAGATATTATTATTAGGGATGAATTTTTATAATAAGCACTAACTGCTCCTTCTCATAGGGCTCGAAGCCTTTATTATATACTGTTCTATTACATATGCACTTCTACAGCTATTAAACATATTATTTAACATATACACTTTTAATGTCCTATATTACTTAAAGCCTCTAAATACTATATATCTCTTTACTTATAGTTTTTTCTTAAAACTCTTATCACTGCTATTACTCTTATATCTTCTAAATGATTTTTATAACTAATAATCTCAGTGTTACAGAAAATTTTTTTACTACCAAATCAACTAACCATATTCATTATTTCAATTAGTTACTTTTCTTTTCTGATTCAGCTATACTTTAATTCTAAAACTATCTATTCTAGTATTTATCTATCAGTTTCTATATTTATTATTTCTATTAGGTATCTCTATTATTTAAATTGATTATATTTTATTTCTATATATAGTTATTACTCTACATGTTTATCAATTTCTAAATTCATCAACAATCATATTGATGGTTGGTTTTTTAGATTAGATGAGAGAAAAATCATTATGCAATCCTATTGTGAAACATGTTTAAAGAATATTCAAGAGAATAATTGTTAAAGATATTATTAAGGAAAGTGTAGCATCCATAATATTTGATGAGATAGAGCATTTGTAGTATAAGATGGAAGGTTTTGATTAAAGAATGATTGATTGATTCATAAACATGTATTCCACATGATGAACAAAAAGCATTTACTTATTATCATTTTTGATCAACTTGGGATTCTTTTGTATGTTTTGAAAAGTTATAAAAACCTTTCTCGTTTAATCTCAATAAAGTTTTCAAATTTAGAATCTCATTTTTTTTAAAAAAAAAATAATAAAAATGTATAAATTAGTAGACAATTTAAAGCTGAAGGCAATTTATATATTTATTTATCTTGTTCAAATTCAAATTCGCATTACAAGTCTTATTATGAACTGCAACTATTACATATCTATATTATTATTTAGTTAACTAATCTATCCTTAAAATTATATTATAAATTACAATATTAATTAATTAGGCTTTTAAATTGCACAATTGTCTTATTGATATTATTATTTAATTAATTAATTGATATCTTATGTAATTCTTTATTCTACAATACACATATAATTAATCTCTGTCTATTTATATTCATTGTTAACAACCACTTGATCTCAATTTCACTACATTTTCTTAATATGAAGTACTCTTAACTACACTTTATTTAACTAATCGTATTCTTAATTATATTATTATTCTGACTTAAACTGACATAATATCCTTTATTGCTCTCTTGAAACTAATAGTAACAAGTAGTACTGATTGTATGAAATTAGATAATGTACTATAAAACTACTATATAAACAACATTTTAGAAATAATACTAAACATAATTAACAATATTATATATTTAGAAAGAATTTTTAAGCAACCCAATACCTCATAAAACATTACTTTGATGATTTTTAAATTATTTGCTTTGATCATAAGGAGACCAATTAATCCAGTTCACTAATTTTTGGAAGTAATTCAATCTAGCCCAATTAGCCTTTTTATATATACAAATCTTTTTAAGCTGTTTTAACGTTTTTTATAATTTTCTTATTAGAGACTTTTCTGATGTTTTGTTAAGAAAATTTTTCTTTAGTTTTCAATATTGCAAACAGCCTAATGATTATCCAACCTTACTAAACAAGTTCTTGATCTTATATCAAGAAACCTATAGATTTTTAAAAGATCTCTTTGAAGATACCTATAATTTTAGTAAAACTTTGAAAAATAATGCTAACTGTATTAATAAATTTTTTAACAACATAACTCAAAGAAATAACAACAATATTCTCAACAACTTCAATAATTTTAACAACCTTTCAAACTCTATAGATAATCTTGTGTAACAAATTTTGGTTTTGATAACCCAAATGCAATAAGTTCCTACACTTTAAATCAATGTTACTCCTCTATAAGTTAACATTCTTCAAATTAATATTCTAGCCCAAAACTGAGAGCTTAATCTAGTATCTTATTCTGAGTTCTTAGAAGGAGAACAGGACCTTATCAGCTGGTTAGAGAATATAGAGAAGGCTTTAAAACCAATTAGGTCTAGGACAACTACAAGATTTCTATTGTTGTTCTTAAGCTCAAAAATGCTACCACTATATGCAAATTAGTATTAAAAACCAGTTCCAGTCTGTTAACTGATAAGATAATATTCAGAATCTAGAACTAAGTTTTAGGCTTATATTTGTTACCTATTTTAGAACCCCTGCTTTAGAAAGCAAGTGGTTTACTCAATTGATATAAAGAAAACAGCTTCTTACTAAAAATGTGGATGCTTATCATGTTGTTATTAAGGAATTTCTATGCTACATAGAAGCTAAAGAACATCATTATTTTGATACTGCCAAGGCTCAAATGTTCATTAGTGGCCTGATGCCTTACTTGGCTGCTTCTATAGCTTACTTTTTGTCTAAGACTCTCATTACTATTTACAAAAGGCAAAAGTATTTAAAAATGCTTTCAAACAAAATATTACTAAATATAATGTTTCTTTCATTCTCTTCTTTTTTTTTTCTCAATATATACACACTTAAGTATTACTTTAGTATCCAAACCTAACCAAGAAAGCAATAGTTAAGTTGACAGAAGATGTTACTAATTTGTTGGTCAGTTAAAAGACCTTTCTAGAAGAAGTTGAAATAATTAGAACAATGAACCTCATGGCCCTTGTTCTTATTGTAGGCAAAATGGACATTTTGCTGGAAATTGTCCTAATCTTCTCAGAAAAGACAACAATAGAGACATTAATATAGGGAATAATCAAAATCTTCATAACTATATCAACAATCAACAAACCAACTAACTCAATAACTGACAACCCAATCATATTATTGTCAGCACTTAAAATGCTAAGGTTCAAGGAACTTTACAGGCTTTGTTAAATTAAATAAATCTGATGCTACAAGAAAATAAAGCACAAATCTTTTTAAATATCTATAAGGAGTTTGCTTTGTACAGAACAGAAAAAGAACCCAATGGCCCATCATAAAAATCAAATGTTAATGTATCCAAGAAGATATTTCTCAAGAGATGCAGCTGTTTAAAGCAGTTGAAGCTTATACAGAACAAGCTAAAATGGTAGCAGCCATAAAAGATAAGAAGAATAACTCTAAATCCTATTAGTTTGAAAAAAAAAGGACTAAATATGAACCTTTACAGAATTCTATTCTTGTATTCCTTACTTTATTGTAGTTGATGTTAGAAACAAGCCAGCTAACATTATTGTTGGACAATTACTAAAGGCTGTTCCCTCTATGCATACAGAGTATCAAAAAGTCTTTAAAAAAAGAAGCTATCCAAAAGGAAAACCTGTGTTTTTGTAAATCTCCAACTAACTCCTAAGGATATGGCTCTTTATTGTAATATTTCAGTTGAAGGAATAGTTATTTCATTAATTATTAACAGTGGGTCTTCCAGGTAGAGGCCTGCATTGGGTTTTGCAAATTTTTGCAGGCCAGGCTAGGCCTAAAGCAAAATTTTATAATTGTGGGCCAGACCAGGCTGAAAAATTTGCAAAACTTTATAATTGTAAGCCAGTGCGGGCCTAAAAATTTGTAAAATTATATAAGAAATTTTTGCAGGCCAGGCTGGACCAAGCTGGGCTGAAAAAAAAATTTAACATATGTGGGCTGGGCTGGGTCAGCAAAAAAATGGTAACCCTAAATGTAGAACAGGCTGGGCCTAAAAAAAATTTTTAACTCTAACTGTGAGCTGGGCTAGGCCTCAAAAATAGGCAATTTGCAGGCTCCTACTTTCAAGAGTATTATTTTAACACCTTTTCTTCAAGAAGTTAGTATCAAGATTGAGAAACCATCTACTATTAATATAATTAATATACACAGACAAAGTCAGAGAGCTATTAGAAAAATATTTAATTTTTCATTCTTGATAGAAGAAATAAGAGTCTCTGTTAACATGTTCATTACTGATGCTACTTCTTATAAAGCTATTATGAAAAATAATTGGCTTTCTAAAGTTAACACCAAAATTAATTACACCTACTCAGAAATAAGTTTTGTCTGTAAAGATAAAAAGGTGGTCATTTTTATAGAATTTTATAAGTTCACAGTTTTCTTTTAAGAAGGCCATCCTACCAAAACTACAAGGTCAAAAGAGGAATTGGATTATGATAATAAAGAAACAGAAAGCAAATACAAAGAAGAAGAATTAGAGAACTAAATTTTTGGTTATTTGGAAGAAAATAAGTTCTTATCTCATTATCTTTTTTTCTATTTGATTTTATTAATTCCAGTTTCATCTTCTCTAAGAATAAGGAAAGTAGTTTGGATCTTATCTACTACAATCTCTATAAAAAATGACAACTATGGTGCATTTGTTCTCAAGAGCAAGGTGTTCACAAGGTCTGATAGAACCTAAATAGCAATGATGACTAGCTTAATAAGAATGGTCCTAACTACAATAATGATGAATCTAAAAAGGATTATGATTTCTATTTCAATGAAATTGAAGAATTTTTTTGTAAGCTGAACATCAGTAAACTTGATCTTATAGATAGTATTCAGTTGAACTGATGCTATTAACATATAATGATATCTTTATCTAGACCTTACAAGACTTAGGATATACTAACTTAGTCACTTACAAGATCTATACTGGTAATACTGCCTCTATAAGACAGAAGCTCTATCATATTTCTTCTAAGGAGAAGAAGTTTTTAAGAAAAAAAATTGATCATATGCTAGAGGAAGCCTATGGGCTTCTCCTATTGTTCTGGTTAAACAAAAAGATAAAACTCATTTTTGTATTAATTATTATTAATTAAATGCTATAACTAAAAATGATAATTACTCATTGCTTTGTATTGATGATTTTCTTAACACTCTATCGAATTCCACTTGGTACACCTCTCTCGATCTTAACAGTAGTTATTGGCAGATCGAGATGCATCCTGATAATAAAGAGAAAACTGCTTTTACCTTCCAATATAGTATATATGAATTTAATATTATGCTGTTTGGCTTGACTAACACCACTACTATCTTTTAATGCCTAATGACATTCTCTTAAGTAATATCAACAGCAAGTTTACCATTGTATATCTGAATGATATTAACATTTTCTCCTTTATATTCACTAATCATTTTCAATATATAAGGAAGGTCTTTTAGTGTCTTAAAAATGCAGGTTTACAGTTAAGTCCTGGCAAATACTATTTCACAAAAAAGAAACTCAAGTTCTTGGGTTACATCATTAGCTCAGATGGAATTTTAACTGATCCAAAAAAGGTTGAAGCTATCATAAATTTCTCAGTTTTGAAAAACCTTTGTTAATTGTGCAGTTTCTTGAATATAGTGTTCTATTATCAAAGATTTATCCTTAATTTTTTAAAAATCACCACCTCTTTTAATCTTTTATTAAAAAAAGACAATAAGTACATGTAGTCTACTAAACAAAAAAAGACTTTCAAGATCTTGAAAAATAGGCTCATGTCTGCTTCTATTTTTGCCTATCTAGATTTCTCAAGAGAGTTTTTTCTTTTTATAAATGCCTCAGAATTAGCCCTTTGTGTCATACTTTTTCAAAGGAATAACTAAGATAGAGAAAGGATTATTTACTATGCTAGTAGAACTATAACTGTTGCAGAAAGAAATTCCCAGTTACTGAGCAAGAATGCCTAGCTGTTTTATGGTCTATGTTATATTTTCAACAATATCTTTATAGATCCTATTTTATTTTTGTTACTAACCATTCTGCTTTCAAGTCCTTGTTAAAGAAAAACTCTCTCAAGAAAGGCTTGCTCATTAAATTCTCACTCTATAGAAAAATTCTTTCATCATTCTTTATAATGCTAAATAACAACACTTTAATGTTGATAGTCTTTTATATCTTATCAAACTTACTAACCAATCATTTGAATTTTGACTATCCACTATGCTTTTCCATTTTCTATTGCTTATTTTTTGTTATTCTTTTCTTATATATTTGACATTTTATATTCTTTTTATGCCTATAGAAGCTTACACTTATCAATCATATATTCATTATTTAAGTGAACCCAATTCTACACAATATTTTGACTTCAAACAATTAAACCACCAAAAACAACAAACAAGACATTTTACTCTTAACAACAATATACTGTACAAAAAACACCAAAAAGAGCCTCATTAATTCCTACAAGTCTTATTACCTTATAAAACTAAGGCCATCCTTTTTAGTATGTACTTGAATTTCTTAGTTAGATATATCAATTATTTGTTCATCTTCTAATGAATCATTCTTTGATATTTTTGGCCTCAAATAAGTAAATACATTGAAAACTACATCAAGGTATATGATGCTTGTCAACAGATAGATTATTCTAAAACCCTTGAGCCCTTCATTCTATTCAAGTAGAATTTCATATAATAAAGTCAGAATCAATCTTGTAAAACCACTATTATCTACTCAAAATGGCAATTATTATATCATTGTCATCACTGAGTATCTCATAAAGTAGCCTAAGGCTTGTGCTATATCTAATGCAATAGCACTCTCAGTAGCTTATTTTATCATAAAAGACATTATTTGTTACTATGGCTGTCCCAAGATGCTTCTATTGGACCAGAGAAAGCATTTTGCTAATCATGTTCTTGATGCTATTTGTGCTTAATTAAATTTCTATCATCATTATTCCAATACCCACCATCTTTAAACTAACAGATTAGTTAAATATTTCAATTAAATATTATATAAGATGTTAACTAAATATAACATCCAATTTTATGAAAACTAGGACCAATATATAGCTTCTGCATTATTTGCTTATCAAACCTTCAAACATTTCACTATCCAATATAGTTTTTTCTTTCTTATGTACAAAAGAGATGTTATGCTATCTATAGATGTTGTAGCTTCAAATTCTAATCTTTTACTAGCTAATAAAGTAGAATTACAAAGTGACCTCATAAGACAGATAGAGATCTTGTTAGGCAAACTTTCTAAGATATGAGAAGAAGCTCAGAATAGAATTACAAGAGCCCAACAAAAGCAACAGGATTAGCACAATTATAAGTTCTTGATTGAAAGCTATTTTATTGAGAACCAGGTTTTGTGATACTATTCTGAACTTCAAAGGATGCATAAGAGAAAGTTAAAGAAAAAAATAGGTCAGCCTGTTTTTTATATATAATATTTTAGAGAATAGAATATATAAACTATGGACTTTTGAAGATAAAGTCTTGAAGCAAAAGGTTCATGACAACTGACTTAAATTGTATCACCTACTGGCTAAAAAAAAATCAGATAATGATTGAACCTTACAGGAGCTCAGAATTTGAGAAAGAGAATCTGTTACAGAAAATTTTTTTATTACTGAATCGATTAGCCATATTCATTATTCTAATTAGTTACTTTTTCTTTTCTAATTCAGCTATACTTTAATTTTAAAACTATCTATTCTAGTATTCATCAAATCAGTTTCTATATTTATTATCTCTATTAGTTATTCTTATTACTTAAATTGATTATATTTTATTTTTATATATAGTTATTACTCTACATGTTTATCAATTTCTAAATTTGTTAACAATCATATTGATAGTTGGTTCTTTAGATTAGATAAGAAAAAATTGTTATGCGACCTATTGAAAGAATGGTTAAGAGGATGATTGTTAAAGATATTATTTAGAAAAGTGTAGTTATTAATAATATTCGATAGGATAGAGCATTTGTAGTACAAGATAGAAGGTTTTGATTAAAAGATTATTGTATAAATATGTATTTCACAAGGTAAACAAAAAGTGTTTACTTATTATTGCTTTTGGTCAACTTGTGATTTTTTTTGTACATTTTAAAAAGTTATAAAAACCTTTTTGTTCGACCTTAATAAAGTTTTCAGATTTAGAATCTCATTTTTTTTTTAAAAAAAAATAAAAACATATAAATTAGTAGGCAATTCAAAGCTGAAAGTAATTTATACATTTATTTGTCTTTTTCAAATTTGAATACATATTACAAGTCTTAATGTGAACTGCAACTATTGCATACCTATATTATTATTTAGTTAACTAATCTACTCTTAAAATTATATCATGAACCACAATATTAATTAATTAGGCTCTTAAATTGCATAATTATCTTATTGATATTACTATTTAATTAATCTATTAATATCTTATGTAATTCTTCATTTTACAATACACCATACTTAACTCTCATCTATTTATATCTATCATTAACAACTACTTGATCTTAATTTCTCTATATTTTGTTAATATGAAATACTCTTAACTACACTATATTTAACAAATTATACCTTTAATTATATTACTATTCTAACTTAAACCAGTACAATATCCTTTACTGCTCTTTTAAAACTAATAGTAATACTAGAAACCCCATTTAGATAGATAATCAATATAGTTATTTATTGCATTACTATATTACATTAATCATTCCTGCTATGTGCTTCTAGGATCATATTTCTACTGCTTACATTTCTTCTCAACTCAAAGTTAAGTTTTACAAAACAAAGTTGAACAATAAGAACAATTTTTTACCAGAATCAAAGATGCAGATACATAGTTCATAGATTGGTAAATATTAATAGGCTTCATTTAAGTCAAAATTTATATACTTAATTTGCCTTCTTTTCAATTTACTCATAGTACTATTCAGACATTTTACTACTTAATTTCTTCTTTTTGAAGCAGTTTTCATTTTAATAACAAAAGCCAAGACTACATCTTATATTACCAGATGGCAAAAGTTTTTCAAACTCAAATCAGTATAGTTCTTTTATTAATTTTGTGTCATCTTGAATTAACCTTTTGAACTTATTAACTCTTCTATTCCAATTTTCATAGGCTTTGTTTAGGCTTTCCAATAGGATTCATTAATGAATTTGTGCAGAAGACTTAGTTTTAATTATTTTCTTGGTTATTATGTTCTTTTAATAACAGTAACTAACTTTAAATATTCTATTATTATTATTTATGCTAATTGCTTTTCAATACCAAGTAAGTGCTTGGTGTTTATTCTTCTTAATATTAATTCTGTTGCAATAATAATGCCCAACCTTACTTATTTCTTTGGTATATTTATTAGCATTACCTATACTAGCAAAGTTTTTTAATAATAGACAAAGGTTTTTTGTTCATCTTTTTTGACACTCATTTTATATTAATGACAATCTTCAACATTAGAATGGCAACAGAAGGGCTGAACTCACATGGTTT